AAGTAAAGTTTGCTCATTTGTTTTCCAGTTTGGAAAGTATTTCTCTAATTTATCTGTTTTTAAGGTTTTTTTCTGTACACATATCAATAAATAGGCACACATAGGTATCTATGTAATTGCAGACACACCACTGAGAATAATATCCTTTTCCATCTCTGCAAAAACATTGTAATAATGTGATGGCTGGTTTTGGTTGTCAACTTAAATAACTCTGGAATAAATGAAAAACCAAGCATCTGGACATTCCTGTGAGCTGAGTTTTTGATGCATCATTTGTGGTATGAAGACCCACACTATGTTTTGGTCATACCATCTAATAGAAATCTACATAATCAAAGGAAACGGGAAAAGGAAGTTGTTAATTTGCTTTCCCTCATTTCAGCTGGAAAGTTCTTATGTCCAGTTGCTGTGCCATTCATCTGCCGGTATTAGAACCTTCGTCTTCTGGATTCCAGTGGAGACTGGGAACCACAGCTCTTCAGGAATATGCTGGGACTCCAGCACCAGATTGTTACTGTTGAGATGTAGAGTCCCATGGGCTAAACAACTACAGAATTCTTGGCCTTTCTATTAGGAGACAGTCATTGTTAGACTACTTGGACTATATCCTGTAAGTCACTATAATAAATTAAATATATATATGAATAAATATATAGTGATAGAATTATTCAATTATATATGCATATATATGTATATATATATATAAAATCTATCATTAAACACACACATGCACATACACACACATTTATTCTATTTTTTTTCTTTAGAGGACCTTGACTACAAAATAAGTATCCTTGTTATGCTTTTCCTTAGCCCTTATTTTAATACACCAGTCTGAGGAAATGCAACTCTTTTCCAGAAGTCAAGAACTATTAAAGAGCCCTGAAAAGATCATTTATTTCCCCACTCACCCACTTAAAAGCTGGGCCACACACATTAATCACTCAAACTGCCTTTTTTTCCCATCATGATGTGGTTACAATTCATGTTTGTTCTGCCCTAAGGAAGAGATTTTGTCACAGGTGGGTGAATTCAGCATTAATAGCATTACCCTTTATTTTCAGAAAAGCGTACGAGGTCAGAAGAGTCCAATTAACAATTCCAGTTTTGCATGTTTTTGGTTACTGATCGAGTTTAATTATTTCCTGTGCCTTTGTTAGAAAACCCAGACATCAACTTCCCAACTCACAATTCATGTTCAAGCTGAGTGGTCACATGGTAAGCTTCTAAAACCGATTGCACAGAGGTGACTATAAGGTGGAAGCCTCCACTTTCACATTTCTCTACCTACACCCTGTACAGTCATGAAAAAGCAATAAGTGGTAATTCCTTCTGAGAAGAGAGAGTAGTGTGGGGCTGCAATGTGCCAGGCATTTCTGCATTTGCTTTATTCCTGTCAGATTATTTTTTAGCTATGCATATATGTGTCTACAGAGGCCAGAAGAACGTATCAGATCTCCCGGAGCAGTTACAGACTGTTGTAAGTCACCCACCCATATTGGTGCTCAGAACTGAATTCAGATCTTCATGGAGAACAACAAGAGCCCTTAACAAATGAGACAAATGAGCTGTCTCTGCAGTCCCAAGATGTTTCCTTAAATTTCCACTGTTAGTTGCTTAACAACGACATGGGGAAATAGAACTGGCACCTTTAAAAGACTATTTATGATGCTGGCTTGTGATTAGCTATTTTTTTTAAACATTCCTTTTCATCTGAAAGACAGAGGATTCAAAGGTGTAAGGCTGTGCATTTGTTCTACATAAGTCTTTTTCACAAACTATTCTTTGAAACTCCTTCAGCTTCCACCTGGCGTCTGTTGTTTGTTCTTAGGAGTGCAAACACTTAAGGACATACCACCTAATGGAGTCTCCAGTAACTTTTCTCAGCTTGTCCTTTATTCATAGAAGAACATGGTGGTGGCTTTTCAGCCAGTGAAGGATGTACTGTAAGTGATTCTGAATTCCTGCTGCTACACCTAAACCAATATTTCTACTAAGAATTAAGATTACATTCTTTGTGGATTTATTTACATGAGTCAAGTGTTTTTGCCTCTTCATGCTTGCATAGATGTAGCATTCAACTAACAGCTACTGGACAGCAGTGAACTTTTTTCCCTGATGTACTTCTTGGAGGAGAGGCGATGGTAGAGATAAGCAATAAGCATCGACATCTTCTTTCGCATTTTTAAATTAGGAAGTGGTTTATTGATTCAACAAGTTGTGGAGGCCAGAAAATGTGAGCCTATCTTCACATTGACCAAAAGTCAGAGAGTTGTAACTTACCTATTTCCTTCAAGGATATTGTGCTTCTACAGCAAACAAAGGACCCAGGTAGATTTCAGAGAGATTTCAGAGAGTTCTGCTCTCTCAAGATTATTGTCAACAGGTGTGGCTAATAGCCAGACTTTGTACTCAAGGAATAGAGAAGTAAGTTTTTCCTACCTCAAACAAGAGTCTGAGGATCCAACTAAGTTCCAGTTCCCTTAAGGAGGTGACTTTGGATTCCACCCAGGAATGTTTTGCCACAAGTGATTTGTCTACAATGTGTTTTGGTCTATTGTTTGAGCATGACTTGTTTTGTTCTAGCAACAGAATGTTTAACTATAAACGTTGCATGCAGCCTTCAATTGGTATGTTCATTTCTTTGTATCATGTTAATGCAGACTTTTGTCTTACTCCTACTTTTGGGGGTCAGTGGTATTTTAAGCAGTTGGAAATTAAACACAGGTAAACTCAGTACTCACTGGAATTTTCTCCTAATACTATCCTATATGTTTCTCCACTTCATTATTTTCATTCGCATCTTCGTATTCTTTACTAATATATTCTAAAGCCCTATAATTCTACCCAGACAATAGGTATTTTTGTCAAGACTGGTCCATAACAGCAAGTATTCTTTGATATCCAACACTTGACCAGTGAAGTCTAAGCTTTGTAGACATAAAGAAGGAAGATGAAGGAAACAACAGATAATTTTAGTATGTAGTCAAATGTAGTAATAGGAGTGGCGGGGCTACATCCCCAGCACCCCAGCTGCCCGCACGGCTAGCTTTACCTGAAATAATTACACGGAAACTGTATTCTTTTAAAGACTGCTTGGCCCTTTAGCTCTAGCCCTTACTGGCTAATTCTGATATCCCGATCAACCCATCTCTAATAATCTGTGAGCACCGGTCTTACCGGGAAGATTCTAGCCTACGTCCATCCTGGGTCCGAGCTTCATCGCGTGTGTCTGCCCAGGAGTGGGGCATGGCGTCTCTCTGAGGCATCTGCTCCCAAGAGAAGAGCTGTCGAGTCTGAGCTCACTTCCTCTTCCTCCCAGCATTCTGTTCTGTTTACTCCTCCCACCTATGTTCTAAGCTATGAGGCCAAGAAGTTTGTTTATTAACCAATGAAATCAACAGATTGATATATGACACTCCCACATCAGTCAAAGATAATTATTATTTGTCCAAAGAAGACAAGAGTGGATAACAGTTTAGATAGCCCTGTTTTGGTGGCTCTTTTTATTAATTATAAAATTATCTAAATTGAGAATCACCTTGTAAATATACCTATTAGTAGGTCTATGATAATGTTTCCAGAAACTTTAAAAAGATACCATCTTAAATGTGAACAATACCATCCCACAAACTGCAATTCCAAATTGAGTAAGAAGAATAAACATGATGAATGCTAGCATTCATGTGTCTTTCCGTCTTGACTACAAGTACCATATGACCAGCCACGTCATATTCCTGCTAGCTACAGCCTCTGGAACAGAAAGTCAAAATAAACCCTTCCTCCTTTAGATTGCTTCTTGGGTGTCCATTTGGTCACAACAAGTAATTATAACAGAAGTCAAATAATGTAATCAAAAATTCTTGTTTCTTATAGAAAAGGTTTGCCAAAGTATTTGCACAAGGTAAGAATGAAAATGTTTTAGCAAGTGAAAGTCAAGAGTGTCTGCCACAGGAACTCAAGTTGGCTGAAACTGTGAATGAGTAGTAGAGGCAAACACAAACTGTATGCAACAAAATCTTCTGAGATACAGAAGTCAGAAGCATTGATAAAGTTTTAATGTCTTGTATAAGTGAGTTCTGCTGGAACAAAATGAAGCTCATTAAGGCCCTAGAGATTGTAGTCCAAACTATGATTGCTCTTGTAGTAACTAACTGACTTTGAAAGCCTTTCTCGTGTACTAGGTAAGAAAAACATTGCATTATGCAAAGCAACCTCCTAATGAGCATCCAAAAATAAGTCACCTAATGGGGCTGTCATGTCCAAGCACTGTTCCCAGTAGTTATGTCCTGAATGGGTTTCTGTCAAATGATGGGATAAAAATAATGACTTTCTCTTTGTACTTCTTTGCTCATCCCTATATATGTTTTTATTTTTATATCTTTGTAACCCAAACAGTACCTTTTAAAGGGAAATCATGCAGAATTGCACTGAGATGTAATCTGAGTCCATCTTTTCAATGTTCGTAAGATCATTAGAGCATATTGAAGGGAAACACTCTATAGACCTGTGGCCTTCCTTCATTGAGACGCAGTATGGCTTCAAGTTGTTCTTTGGTCTGCTGTAGGCACTGGTCTCCATGACAATCATTCTTGTTTGTAAATATTCTTATTATAGGTTATTCTGGCTTTAGTAGGAGCAATTAAGAAGTTTCTCTTTCTCTTGGCTACTTATGATTTCTTCTTGATACAAAACTTTTGGTTCCTTTTTTAACATTAGGAATGTGCTAACTAATTCAGATGATTTGTTAGCATCTTTAACCTACCACTATTATATTCTTTGCCTTTTCACTTTTGGTATAGTTTTCATAGTTCTTGTTTTTGATAATTTAAAATGTTTTAAAATAGAAAGTTCAGCTGGTTACTTAAAAAGGAGACTTTATACATCAGGTCCTGAAATGAATTTAGCATTTTAAAATACAGTTAAATAGACATGAACTTCCTGAGCAGTAACTGCAAGGTGAAAAGAGATCTCTAAGCAGGGTGTGGTGGTACAGACCTGTACTTGTCACACTCATGAGTTGAAAGCAGGAGGATCAAGAATTATATGATGGTCTGGAGTATACAACAAGATCCTCTTTCAAACATCAGCATGCCTGAAAAAGAAGGAAGAAAAACAAATGTAATCCTCAGTCAGAAAGTCAGAGGTCAGCAAATACTTTCTAAAAAGGGGAGATAGAAAAAGTCGGAATCCTGTGGACATCGTGTCTTAACAGTGAAAGCAAGAAAGCAGCTACCTTCTTTATCAACAGCATTGGGCCTGTATTCCAATAACCCTGTGTTTACAAAAACAGGCACCCTGCAGAAATTAGACCTAAGTAAGGAGCTTGCCAAGTAAGTCAGGGTTCTCCAGAGAAGCATGACTTATGTGGAAATAAGTTCACGTGTATAGGGAAGCCAAGAAGTACAGGATAAATGTTGAAGCTGAGAACCCAGGATTCCAGAGCTTAATTAATACTGAGAACTGTAGGGAGCTCAGCTGTAAGTCTGTAGCCCAGATATATAGCAGGTACAATGCCCAAACACAGCAGAAGATGAAATCCCCATCTCAGAGGAATATTTTGCCTCTTCCTGTCTTTTTTGTTTAGTTCAGACTTCAAGTGTTACCTGACACATATGGATGAGAATGATCAACTTAATTCAGTCAATTAATTCAAATGTTAACTTATTCAGAGACACATTCAGAAACAATGTTTTCCCAGCAACCTAGCAACCCTAGTGCCAGCATGCATCATATAACAATTGTGGGAGAGGAGTAAAAATGTAGTAACTGTAGAAGGTTTATGAATGTACAAATATCAGAAATTCAGAAGGAAATGTGCCACATACCAAGGTACTTCTAACAATGCTCACCTGTGTGTATTGTGCAACTTTACTCCATCCTTGGTTCTGAACACAAAACATATGTGCTATGATCTGTGTATACTATTACACACACAACAATGAGAACTATCTGAGGTCCAATGGCTCAATACAAGATACCAGATCACTGCATGTGATGAACTGACAATGTTTTACTGTATATACAATTTTTTCTGTTCATACAACAACATAACAGCAAGACAAGAAACTTTTTAATTGCTCCTGCACTATCAAATATTCAGCCATGATTTAAATCTTTAAGAATAAACCAACATTTCCATCTCACTCATTTGCAAGTTTGATTTTATTTTTAATAAATAGCAATTCTGTCCCAAAGAACTATTATAAAGTAAATTTGGTTGTGATCTGTTATCAGAAAATGTTTGATTTGCATACCTCCTTTGTGTACCTTTATACTTGGGGTTATGCAAGGTTTTCTTTCATGGGACATTCCCCCAAGAGAAAATTTTTTAGGAAACCCTGTGTGAGTGTGTTCAAACTGAACATATAAATTACTCATCACTTTTGTTATCTCCTAAGATATCCTAGAGCAATACCTTCCCAATGTTATAACACTTCAATATTGTTTTTCAAGTTGTGGTAATCCCCAATCATAAAATTATTTTGATACCACTTCTTAACAGTAATTTTGCTACTGTTATGTATCATAGTATAAATATTTAAATATTTATGTTTTCAGCTAGTCTTAGGCAATGCCTATAAAGGATAATTTGACCCCTGATAGGTTGAGACACAAAGCTTAAGAACCACTGCCATGGAGATTATAGCTGCAAGAAGCAACTTTTGGTTTGTGGGCCCATAGAAGAAAGGGAAAAAAATGGGTTGTAAAAATATGGAAATTCAGAAGAAGGGCCACTGATTAGGGCCCCTAAACCACTAAAGAGGCAGTAGTAAGAATCTTTGCATGGGTGAAAAGAAAATTGGTCCTGCAAATATTGGAGGAAAATACAGCTCAGATTCTAGCAGAAAGATTTACAGCTTCCTGTATCAAGACCCATGTGGAGAAAATGACCTCGCCCTGAGGAGGCAAATCGGTGAAATAAAAGTAATCTGCCGAGCCCCAGTCTCACATGCAAGAACCAAAAGCTGCAAGGTGTGAGCTGAAAAGCAATCAGTAACTGGTGCACACATCAACCTGAGTTTATTTTCCTACCATTGTTTTCTTGTTGAGTTACTACCAGAAATTGCTCAGATTGCCTGGCAATTACTGCATAAGAGGAAATGTCAGGTAGCAATGATGTATTTCCAAAATCTACCAACTTTTGATAATGCTAAGAACAATTAGCAGTTTAGTATCCATAACATCAAAGCATAAAAGGATAGCTGTGTGTGTGTGTGTGTGTGTGTGTGTGTGTGTGTGTGTGTGTGTGCAGATGTTTGTAACTGTGTTTGCATATGTCAACATATGTATCAGTAAAATCCTGTTTTGGGGAACTAATGCATGTTAGTCTGAAATATATCTCTGCTTCTCAATGATTTTAAATATGTCTTTTATTACACACTGATGATAGTGCTTGGTACTGAAAGTTTCTATTATATTAATTTGTGTTAGGAGTTGGAGAGATGGCTCAGCAGGTAAAGTTAAGAATATTTACTGATCAAGCAGAAGACACTGGTTTATTTCCAAAGGCTCTGATGTCCTACCCTGGCCTTTTGGGCACCTGTAAGCACACAGTACACATAAACTTATGCAGAAACACACAGATACACATATTTTTTTTAAAAAAATCTTTATATGCTTATTTGGAAAATAAAATATTATCAACTATACATCCATACTCTTTTCCTCCACCTCCTTCACTTTTGAATTTTACAAGTTGTTGAAATAGAAGGTTCTGAAATGTTTATAATACCTCATTTTGATTGATTGATTAATGATTGATTGATCTATTGATGGATGGGTAGTGAAGGATGCTGGAAGAAGGAGGCAAGGCTATTCTGAGAAACACTCTTTGAAGATATTTTAAAAGGCAATTTGTCACTCAATAAAAATGTGTCTACATGATACATAAAAGTTTGGCACCCCAGCTTGACTGAATGGCTGCACATGTCGACAGCCTAGGTGTCTGTATGCAGCTAGACAATCCATAATAGGATTCCTATTACTATAGTGTGCACTCACCATTCCTGTGTAATTACTCAGCTTCAACCACTTCTACCAGGACACTCTGCTTTAGTTTCAAACGCCTCTGCCTAAATAGCTGGTTATCTCAACATTTTACACACTAGTTGGTCTTGTTACATTTCTTGAATAATTTCTTTCTACATAGTGAAAACTGTGCAATCAAATTGATAGTGTAACTGTTCCTGTGGCAGGGAACATCCAGAGCTTGCCTACAAATTCTTCAAGCCATCTGTAATATTACATGTCCAGGGATTGCCTCCAGGTACTTAATTATACTATCTCCTAAATATCTTATGCATTTGCTTTTACTGATAAGGGTTAATCCACAAGTCTCCCAAGGGCTTTACATACGTTAAACAGACAATATTATTTCTTGTATTGAAAACCTCCATACATTATTTTCAGTACATAAATTTGGTGTGTGCTAAAGAAATGTTATCTGGTGAAAAATAACTTTGAAGATTAATGAGTAGTAACTCAGCGCAGTGCTGTACGAGATACTTTATCACTGAAGCCATCCTGGGGAGTGGCATGCACAGTTTTTCTACGTTTCTTCTGGAGTTTTAAAAACAAAATGTTCTCCAATCACATTCACCCTAAGGAGACCAAAATTATTAATGGCTTAATATTTGCAAGCAGCTATAGATTCTCACAGCCAAGGACAGAATATCCCATTTGTAAAACACAACCTCAAGAAACAGAACTGCATTTGAAATAAGCTCTGTCCAAACTGTATTTCACTTTGTATTCTGAAAAGCAAATTTGCATTTTTAACTAGTTTCCATGTTGTTCGTTTTTATTCCTCTTTTATCATGTGGATATGGATGGATAGGAAGATGATGTTCTGATCAAAATGTCTCCTGTGATAGAGAAATGTATGAAGAATTCTTTTACAGAGAGTGATTTAAATAATACCACAACATTCACACAAGTAAACAACTCTGCTTATTGACTATAAATGTTCAAAATTATAAAAGTTTTGGGAGATGAAAATTTTCTAGCTGGCCGAAATACACAGAGTTAAGAGGCTTCCTAGATGTAACACACTATCATTTAGGACACTAGTTTAACATATTATTTAAGTGTTGTCAAGAACATTGGGTTGTTGACTTATTAGCTAGGATTGACTAAGTTTTTAATAACCCAGATGGCTTGAATTTGGGAAGGAGGAAATTTCTTGCCTTTGAGGACAAGCAAGCATGAAGGAACAGAATTCAAACTGGTGAGAGGAAAAGGGGCCTTAACTTAGCTGGGCCCGATTAACCTATCCTGTAAAGGTAGCTTTTAGGAAGCAGGCTTTCTTTTCCCTCAAACCCACACTTTAGAGTCTGATTTTTGTTTATTTGGTCTGGTTTTGTTTGTTTATTAATTGTTTGTTGTGGGTTTTGTCTTGGGCTGGGTTTTAGTTATTTGTGTATATGCTGTAACTTTTGACTTGGGGACAAAAGGACATTTGATGCGTGTGAAATGTTTTTTTTTTGTTTTTTCTGTAGTGGAGCACATTTTTCCTGTGTGAAACACTGTGTGAGCAATGATCTCAGATGTTAGCTTTGGTTCCCTCAAGGCTTGCTCTATAAGAAAGCTCTGAAGTCCCTGCTGGCTTGAAACACCTGAAAGTCCTCATTGGAAGTTGTACATGTGCTGTACTTTGGTGCCCAGCACATCAACACAGTTTGATGGTGGTACGTTGACCTCCTGAGTGGAACAAGCTAGACAGATGCTGTGTTGTCTCTTTCAAAAATTACACTGACATTCATGGCTGTTCAAAAGAATATGGAAATAGGAGACAAAAACATATCACTGAATAATCAGATCTTTCAACTGTGTTTTCATTAATACATATTTAAATATACTTTTTCTCAAGACTCCAATAATAAGTAATGCTTCTCTTTTTTGAGCTATATTATATCTAGTAGCAGTTTGAAACCAGGAATTAAGGCTTCTCATCCTTTCATAGTCATCATGTCATTATGGGATATTATATTATTGTTTTTGGTTTTGCTCTTTATTTACCATAGGCTGGCATTAGACTTGTATCAATTCTAGCTTTGCTATCAAGCAGAGTCATATGAGTGTGAACCACCATTC